GCTTTTTGCAGTGTTTCTAAATATTTATTAAATTAATTTTTTCTTTTTCTTTGTTTGTTTGTTTTTGGAGACATGGTTTCTTTGTGTAATAACAGTCCTGGCTGTCCCTGAATTCCTTTGTAGACCAGGCTGGCCTTGACCTCACTGGGATCTGCCTTCCTCTGCCTCTGCCTCCCAAGTGCTGAGATTAAAGGCGTGTGCCACCACTGCCCAGCTAAATTTATTTTTCATATCCTAGAGTGTCCTCATTTCCTTCAGCCTACTGTGTCCTTACCCATGAATCATTTTGCTCTTATCTTTGAATTGATTCACATGCTTTTCATATTTTGACCATCTTGAACATGATGGTTTTTGAGTTCTGTATCCTGGATATCATTTGACTTTCTCTCCTTAGTGGACACAGATATGGTTTATGCTTTGAGCCAAGGGCGTTTTATCTTGGTTTTGTTTTGGGAGTGGTACCTGAGCGTCAGGATTTAGGGTGTTGGTTGTCTTTTGCTGTGTATTTTTAACCCAAGTGGGCTGGTATGAGGAGTCGAGAAATTAGGCAGGATAACTTATATCCGAAGGTTTCAGAACCCAGGCTCGTGGTCAGACACCGGGGTGCAGCGTCCTCCTAGATCCAGGTCTGGTCCAGGCTGGCAGCGAGCATGTGGGGAGGCTGTGCAGAGCGGGTGCAGGGCAGCCTGACAGCTGGAGCTGTGTGGAAGGCAGCTTGAGACCGAGTGGAAGGGGCGGGTCTCAGAGGGGCGGGGCCACCTGTCAATCAGAGGAGTTTAGGGGAAAAAAATAACCGGGAACAGGTTTGGTGGGTTGGAGGAACACGTCACCGGAAGTGGAGTTTTTGGGGCGGGATCAAGAAGGTCCATTTCAAGGAACCAGGCTGAAGAGACAGGAAAATCCACCCTTCCGTGTTGATCTTGTCGGGGCAGCGTGGTCTGGCACTGCACGTGGAAGACCCGGCCGGGTATTCGGGGCCTGAAATCTCCCCGGAGCCGCAGTCGCCGCGCGGGGCGGCCTGGGAAAGTCACCAGTCAGCAGCGCAGTGGCGGGAACCGCAGCCCGGCGGCCCTGGAACCTCCCAGGTCAGAGGAGCTGCGGGGCTGGGACACGGGAGGGAAGGGACCGGGGTGTGCGCGCCGAGGCTGCTCAGAAGGACACAGCTTCCAAAATTCTTAACATTGTCTTCCTTTTGATATCCTATTGTCTGTCTTCAACACTACACGGTTTGCATCGCTACAGTTTTTATATGTTTTGAAATTATCTCCAGATTTCATCCTCTCATTATTTTTGAAGTTTTTGATTACTCACAATTTTATGTATCTTAGGAATTCCTGATTTTCTCCAAGATGATTTTATACACTGAGTGGTCTGCTGACTTCTCAGAATCCTCCTTTTGAAAAAAAAAAAAAAATAGTGATGTTGTATGTGTATTCTGTAACTTTTAAGAGGTCTATCAGATCTTACCAGTTTCTCATGGGTATTTCTCCCTTTAAATTGCAGAATTCTATTTCTTATCTAGTAGTACCCCCTTCTCTATTACTGTCTTATATTATCACGTTTAATATTGTCTGTGTCCTTGAACTGTGTACCCACTGATGCAATGTTTTGAGTGTGGA